GATAAGTAAAACCACAACTTAATGCTTTTAAAGGCATCACACTGAGTTCACCCCCCCAATTATTTATTTATTTATTTCATTTCCTTATGCCCTGTCTTTGTCCACTATGAGCTAGATAAGGTGCACTTAAACTTCCCAGGCACTGAATAGAAAAACGCATGCCAAGCTTATGCCAGGCTGTCTCACCCTATGAGTGCCTTCAGGCAGTGTCCCAAAGTAAGAAGGCTTTCCACATAGAGCAGGCCTCATTAAGGCACTCCAAAACCTCTTCTCTTCCTCCCACTTCTAAGCAACAGAAGAGTTGTGTTTTGTCTCGCAAAAGAAGGAATAAAGGGATGCTTGCTTGGTTGGTGGATAAGTGATTATGTTCACTGAGCAAAACCCAGAGATTAATTTTACCACATGTGAGATTCCCCAGTTGCTATCTAGCTCCATGTTTGCTCAACTTGGTTTTTACTGAATGATCTCTAGAGGTTAGCATGGTGTCATTGTTACTTAACAAATGGGACAAACCATGAGTAAAATCATCCTGATCTAGTCTATCTAGGCTTCAGGTTGCACATTTTTCCTCTTCTAATCAAGAGGGGAATAAGCAATGGTTTCTTTAAAGGAAAGAAAGAAACCGCATCCCAAGTTTTAACAGTCTAGTATTATTAAACACAGACAGTCAGAGAAATACTGTGGGAGGACATAAGAATTTGTAATTTATTCATAAACTGCTAAGCCATCATAGCAAACTTTTTAAATGAAATGTGATAGTCGTTTAAATATTTACTAGTTTGTTGACCTATTTTCTCAGTTAATTAGGGATTGCATTAACAATGTATTAAATATAGGCAGCTTTTAAAATTAAGCAGACTAACTATTGTGAGTTACAAAGTTTTTATGTTGTTCAATGAAGCCAGAGAAGGCAAGCTCAACCAAAACTAATCTCTCCCATTACCAAAAATTATGTTAAATATATATAACTGGATTTGTCACTTTTCTTATAAATCAAATTCAAATTATCTCACTATATTTCCATAATGGCTATTAGAGCAGGCATTTTGCAGTCTTTTCTGTTTTGGCAAGCTTTCTACTGAGTTCTGCTGCACAATACAGTACTAGGAATGGTTTGTTCGATAGCTGAATCATTTTCCAGTGAAATGTTCGCAAGAGCTGGTTGCTAATAAAAACAAACTAGTAACTTTATTAATTTCTGAAGAAGCATTTTTAATTACCATCTTTAAACTAAATCCTTTGCCATAATTGAAATCCATACTTAACATTATTCAAAATATTTTAGGAAACATAAACTGTATGGCCTGTCTTAAGAAGAGACTGTCAGACACTTGTGTTTTCCCTAACTTTCCCCTCACCAATATTTTGGTGCTATTAGCTGCTGCTTTGTGCTCTAAAAATGTATCTATTTTTAGTTGATTTGATTGTTAAAATATCAAATGTGTGGCCTGCTTTGACTTTCTCATATTGAGCGCAAAATATTGGATATAAGTATTTTCAATAAATTAAACCTTTCTGAGTAAGAAGGAGTATGCACATTGTATACTATATTGAAAAAGTTTCATGATCCTCTGTGGACGTTTGCTTCACTGTAGGGAAAATGAAAATGAAATAAAATATGACATTGCAGTGTAGAATATTCCTGTTGTGACCCAGCCAAGCATCTGTGCCTTCTTCCACAGCATTCCTTCCCATTCCAACTCTTTGTGGCTTTTTAAAAAATGCCCCTTACAGTAAACTGTAATCTACCATTCCATGGTCACTGTGCATGCTCATTCTTCACCGGACTGGCTGAAGGCATCATTTATGTTCACCTGGTTGTGTTTTCTAATGTTTTCGTTCTCTGAGTAACCTGCAAGGGATGTTGTCTTGTAGCTAAGCAGGCCAGATGCCTGGCTTTTCTGCTCTCTTTTGGGCATAGAACATGGCTCCCTTGGTTACAGTTGCTAGGAAATGCAGCTTCAAGCTGAGTTTGAAAGTGACTCCTTGGGAGAAGTTGCCATTATGGATCGGTCAGTGAAGCCAGAAAAGAAGATTAGCAGTTAAAAGTTCCAGAAAAGGCACCACTGTCCAGATTACTCTGAGCCAATGCCATTGAACTGGTTCCCGTAAATCTGGCATCAGCTTGTGTCAGAAGAAAGTTTCCTTGTGACATTAAGCATGCTTAAATGCTGCAAAAGTTGTGGTAAAAGCATCAATGGAGCTTCCTACAATGGGCTTCTACTCTTCAGTAAAATCCTGGTTCCAGTGGCTGTATCAAACTGACCTGAAGGAGAAAAACAAAGCATGTGCCAGCTGCGGGGATTAAACCAAGCAGTTTATCAAGGTGCAAATGGCCAAAAGAAGCTCTCTCTCTCTCTCCATTTGCACCTGATGAGGAGCCATGTTTCTCTCCCACAAGGTGGCATTTGCTGTGTCTTTGTTTCCTTCCTGGAGATCAATTCACAATACAGTCAGCCAGTGCTTGCATGCCACAGATCAATTCTCTTAACTGCCAGTATTGCTCTGTTTTGTTTTTCTTGACAGGAAAGTTAGCTGAAGTGGCAAACATTTGACCGATTTGAGAAACATCACACACCAAAACAAAGGCATCACAACCTAAGTGAGAAGTGAAGTGAGGGCTTGTGTGTGCCTGAAAAGAACAACAGCAAAGGCAGAAACTTTGTTTCGGAGACTAAATGGGAGGCAAAACTCAACTGCCGAGAAAAGGATTTCTATTTCTGGTGGTACCTTAAGGCAACAAAGGAAATGTAATGGCTACTACAGCTCTGTTTAATGAGCAGGTATGCAATATTAATTGCACCAAGTGTAACACTTTGAACAAAATGTCTATTCATATTTTCGTGATATCTGAAATGAAGATCATCTACATTTTACAACATCTGTAAAGGAGTTAAGCAGCTTATGTCCTGCAAGTAAAGCACTGAGTATATTTGCTTAGAGGGTTATTATATACCATTGTTGTATTCTCTGTGTTACTGCTAATTTTTACCAAAGGCTCATGGATGAAGTTACCCATGTTATCTGGTAGCAGGAGGAGGGGACGCATCACATGAGTTAGCAGGCGTCCTACATAACAGCTTTTTTCCCATTCCCTGATGGGCTAATCCAGTTGTACTCTGCCTGGACCAGGACAAAGCTGTTTTCTCGTATCTTTCTGAAATGCATCATCTCTCCACTCTCTTGGAGTGCAATGACGTTGTTCTCTGGTTCACTAAAGGACACTTCCGTTCGCTTGTGACAATACTGGGAATGGATGCACCGTAAACCAATGGCTAGGACCATGCCGAAGACAGCCGAACATCCAAGGAGAACGCCCAGCTGAGCTGCTACAAGCTGGGACCCTTTCTGTGGCTTTTCTCCTCCTCCTCCTCCTCCTCTTCCAGAAACAGCAGGTTTGGGTATTGTCCTTGTTACCTTCATGAGAATGTTTCCAGAAATATCCTTTTCCCACCTTTTCTCCTGGCCAGCTGTTGTAACTTCTGCCTGGGGTAGGAAGTTTGCTGAAACATTCTGGGTCATGGACTGCTTCTCTGCCATCTGCATCGATGCTGCTGATAAACTTTGGTAGATATCAGTGTCTTCTTCTCTAGCTAAATGCTCTGGTCGTTTTCCCATTCCTGAAAACAGCGCTGGCTCCCAAAGATGGATCGGAACTGAAGCTGCAATGGGTGGTGTAGACTTGCTTACTGATGGATTAGAACTTGCAGAAACCACCTAAAAGCATAAAGAAATAAATATTTGGAACAGCGGGTCCTATTTTTCTGGGGATTTACAATTGTCCTTTAATTGTAGCCCACTGACACAAACCCATTTTTCACAGGACATATGGCAGTCATCACCATCTGACAAGAATAATCATTAACCTGGTAGAATTATAACCTTTTTGAAAGGGTAGTTTTTTCCTCCACAATCACAACTTTTTCCTTGAGAACTACTCAAAGGACAGAACCTGAAAAAGTTACTTCTTGGACAATAATTCCCAGAATCCCTGTTCTCTATGACCACTAGCCATGTAGGCTGGGTGATTCTGGGAGATTTTGCCCCTCAAAAGGTAAATTTTCCTGGCTCTGCACAGATCAACACTGAATGATATGGAAAGAAAGGTAGAGAATGTACTTTCTAATGTTACATTGATCAGCATTCAGCATTCTTGTTAGCAAGATATCTTAGCTCACTGAGATAATGGCAAGGTTATGCTGTGTCACCACATTAGTGACCTCCATAGCGAAGGATGATGTTTTCCTTATGACAAGGTCATTATTTTGGGCATTGGCTCAGAGTTTGTAAGATGGGATGTCACAGAATAATTCATTTACCCCACTTCTTTGCTCCCCCTTAATAAATGCCTGAAAGGTTTTACCGAGACATGAAGCAATTAGCCTGTTCGTCAGGCATGAACTAGAAAGTGACTTGGAATTACTTGGTACTAAAGTAGCCCATGCTCAACAGGGGAAACACAAATAATAATGGCTAGAATCACTTAAGGTGGATCATTTCCACACAAAAGCCTATTTGATTTCCTTATCAACTGTTTTAGGAATTGCATAATCTTGTTAATATAGGGCAGTATGCAAAAGCCATATTTTACACAAACAAGCAAGGAAAATTAAGTTTTCCCCTCCTACATTTCCTTTTATTGCTTGCTTGCTTTCATTCATTTTTCCTTGCTTTCTATTTTAACTGCAAAATATCATAACATTTCTTCAAGCCTGCACAGACCTCCCTGTGAGGACACTGTGGGCCCCCGGGAGTCCACAGACCAAAGGTTGAGAACCTATGATCTAGTCTATAGATGATGGTAGTTTTATTGCTATTCATCTCCAGTCAGTGGACATGCAAACTCCCACACCCAGAGAGGAAGCTTTCACAGGAGGAATAAAACAAACTGTGATCCATAAATTAGCTATAGGCAAGGCCCTCAGCTAGGTTTGGAATGAAACAGATTCATCTCAATCTAATTATTTTGTTCAAAATTGGAACCAACAAACTAATTGCTACAAGGAATGGGTTTTAATGACAGAGCTGTTTTTAATCTTTTTAAGTGAGTTTTGAAAATGTTTTAAGGTAATCTTATTTAATACTTTTAATGATTAATACAGTATATTTAATTATTTTTCATTGTTGTAAGTTATTGGCTGAAACCCTGTTGCTTAGTGTAGTAAGTCACAACTAGAGTAGGCCCATTGAATCAGTGAGGATTTGCTGAGTCAACTGCTCCATAGGTTCCCTTGATTTAACAAGCCTACTCTAGTTGCAATTTACAATGCTGAACAGCAGGATTTCAGCCACTTATTTTTAATTGTTCCATTATTTATGTTTCTTTCAAGCTAAAATAGGTCCCTTTTGGGAGAAACATGAGAAATAAATTAAAGAAGGAAAGAAGTAAATAGGGACCAAAATTATTTGAGTTCAGCCTTATTCTGATGTTATATGGAATGCAATGGGACCTAGAGACCTCCGCTAATCCTCTCTGATTATATTGTTCTTAACCTTGGGTTACTCAGGAGTTTTGGACTGCAACTCCCAGAAGCCTTCACCACCAGCTGTCCTGAATGGGGTTTCTGGGAGTTGCAGTTCAAAAGCATCCGAGTAACAAAGGTTAAGAACCACTGTTGTAGCGTTTTCTGCTAGGCCTCTGCTGAGCCATGGGCATCACTGTGCTGGCTTGCAGAAGCACACAGTTAGGGCAACTGGGAGTTATATGAACTACATATCCCATAGTTCCTGATGCGCATGGATTCATACTGGCACGTAAAAGTTGCAGCAGCATGAAGGTTAGTTCCAGCAGGAGCCTCCCTGCCACTACCAGTTAAGAGAAAACGAGACTACCAGAATAGGAAACAACAGCTGTCTCCCTATATGGTACTACCTGAATTCCAAACACAGAACACAATAAACATGGGACACCTGCATGAGAAAGTACTACAAACGCGACAACAACACTCTGTGCACAGACTTCACTTCAAGTTTTCTGTTTTTAACTTCAAATGGATTTCAGAGCATCTACTGCCCTCTAACCGGAATTTGTGAGAACAGCAGTCAAGCCTCAAGATACCAAACTAAAAAAATCAGATGCTAACCAGTCAGCCTTCAGCCTGTTCCACCTGCCACCAAGAACGCCGCAGCCCTGGGCTCATGTGGCGTGTTTATGAGGAGATCCCTTCAGATTTTAGCTTTATACTGCAGTGACCCTGTGATAGTGATGAATCCCAAAATCTGATATCCTTTTCAAACCCAAAACAATGTTTGTTTTTTGTAGGAGAAAGACCACATTTTGCAGCACTACCCTCAACTCTTCCATAGTCGTGGAAAAGCTACAAAACTTGGGCTTGAACAACAGAATGTAGGGAAACTATGGCTAAAATGCTGGCATCACTTAGGGTTGAAAAGGACAAAGTTGTGTTTAAGAGCAGTTAAGAGGGACGTGGTGGCGCTGCGGGTTAAATCGCTGAAGCCTCTGTGCTGCAAGGTCAGAAGACCTGCAGTCGTAAGATCAAATCCATGCAACAGAGTGAGCCCCTGTCGCTTGTCCCAGCTCCTGCCAACCTAGCTGTTTGAAAGCATGCAAAATGCAAAAATGCGAGTAGATAAATAGGTACCATCTCATTGGGAAGGTAAATGGCATTCTTTGTCTAGTCATGCTCGCCACGTGACCACGGAGGATTGTCTGCAGACAAAACGCTAGCTCTATGGGTTGGAAATGGAGATGGGCACCGCCACCTAGAGTTGGACACGACTGGACAAATTGTCAAGGGGAACCTTTACCTTTAAGAGGTCAAGCAGCTCTGATTGATGTCAATTATACAGTGGTGGTCGGTGCAACAAAGTTCAGATTATACATTACAAAACACTCGAGGGGATACCACATTTTGCAATTTGTAGTTAATGAAGCCTTACACACAATCCTGAAGCAAAGAAAGTTCCCTCATACACTTCCTCCTGGTTGTGCCTGCTCTGTGGTCTGCATGATGTCTATGTCTGAAGACAGTCAGATAACTAATTGATCCAGTGTCATGCAAATCTTAACGCTAAGTAGATTGCTACTAATTAAACTCATCCATTTTGCCAATCTATACTTAATCAAGAGACTTTAAATTACTTTAAGTCTACTCATGCCAGATATTCCAGAAAGCTAAAATAGGGAGCCTGTATCAGAGTCTCTGTTTCTATATGCTGGGTCAGGGAAGGCAGGTTTTTAAGTAACAAAGGCCCAAATCCACTTAGTCTCCTTATGCTAGCATAGCATAAAGAGTGCAACTTTTGCAGGCAAATTGCCCCAAATTAAGAAATCATCATAGATGTTATTCGTTGCATATTGAATTGTAGGACACAGCATGTATCTGATAAATGTCTACAGTAATTTCTTAACTTGAGGAAATTTGCAGCCAAAATGTGAGTGGCATTTGTGTTAGCTTAGAGGATTTTGATCAGAGAACACTTCTTCATTCAGATATAGACAAACCTTCTTTGCAGTTCAAAGGATGTCTATCTTGGCAAGGAGACTGAGCATTCCTATCGCCAATTATTTCAGCTACAAACAGCATTTCCCTTTAACAGGGACGGGCAAAGTGCAGCTCTCCAGATGCTGCCAAATGCCACGTCTCATGAGCCCCAGCAAGCTTGACCAATAGTGAGCCCTATGCAGAGCTGTAGTGCAGCAACATCTGGAGTGCTTGCATTTTCCTAGGATCTGGTAGCATATTTGAAACAGTGCCTGAGTCAGTGTCTTACCTCTTATTTCCTTCCAGAGAACAGATTTTTCTAGTCAAATTCTTGAGTAGGAAACACTTCTTTTTCAGTCAAGTAGTATAAACAAGAATTCTGTATAGCTCAAAAGGAGTCTATTCTGCTGGGACAAACAGCCTGGCCATTCCCTTTAACTAAATATTCCATAGACAAGAATCACATCATCTACAAGATTTTTCAGCATTCACACACACAGACACACAGACACACAGATCCATAGACAAGAATCACATCATCTACAAGATTATTCAGCATTCACACACACACACACACTCACACAAATAGACAAGGGAAAGTGTGTCCAAGCATCTTATGATTTGGAAGTCAATTCATTTTCCATAAAAGTGGCTGGCTGGAAAGAGAATGTGATTGTAGAATGTTTTCAAGCCCACACAATTGCACTCTTTACAATTTAAATACATATTACAGCATGATAGAAATTCTCATTGAGTTCAGTGACATTAGTATTGCATAGATACTTGTGATCCTTTCGTTATTCTCATGATAAGAAATGAAGTCATTATCATAGTCATTACTCTCCTGATAAGCAATAAAATGGTTCATAAGGCATTTGAATGTGCACACGATGACAGATTGTATTTATAGATATAGCAGGTTATATGTGCAGTTTAGCTGTGTGTTGGGTCACTGCAGCTGTTCTTATTATATTTTAAGACACACAACACTCTGAGTACAGCCTGAGTTTAAATAAATATTTCTAACTTAATCACATTAGGGTTTCTGAAATGATGCTGAATACATAACGATTCTGTGGACACATTACTGTATGTTGCCAAAGGTCCTTCTCAAAAACACATTGAAAAGTGTGTCTCTAGGGCTTACCTCCATGCCTTCTTTACATATCAAACACACTTGTGACGTGGGAAGAGTTGAAGTATTTTCTGTCCTAAAATGTTGGGGAGGAAAGTGTCATTCAGTTAGGCATCGTACTATTCAGGTTGCATTCTACATGCTCATTTGTGGCTGCCACTGGAAAACGTGTTCAAGTTTGGTTGAAGATGCATGGAAGGTTCCCATATACTAGTGGTCCTTTCTATGTGTACTCCTCTGTTGGAGAGTTCTCGCCTACTCAATCCAAATTCAGGCCCTGAGTTGTAAGTTAGATGTAGTTAGGTTTGGGACCTCAATATTTGGCAGATCGTCTTCTCCCCCCCAGATCTCCCCGAATCCCCCGCCATAGCCAGCAGGGACGGCTGAGGGGTCTGACGCTGACAGAGGCTCGGAAGGAAAAAACTAGAAACCGGGCCTTCTCGGCGGTGGCCCCTCGGCTGTGGAACGCCCTCCCAACAGAAATTCGGCTGGCACCCTCGCTGGGTTTTTAAGACAATTAAAAACTTGGCTATTTAGGCAGGCCTTCCCTCCAGTCAGCTAAGTCTTTTTATTTCTTCTTTCCTTATCTTACCCATCTTGGTAATTTTTTTTTCTTAAATTAATTGTTTTAATTAATATAGTAACTGTATTTTTAATGATTACATATATTTTATATTGATTTTTATGTTGTAAGCCGCCCCGAGTAGACATGGTCTAGAGGGGCGGGGTATAAATTTAATAAATAAAATAAAATAAAATAAATGTAAGTATGCCCCACACTTTCACTCTATTCTTTCTGGGATTTGTATAGCCTCTGCTCTCCGTTAGACAAGATGCAGTAGCCATCTCTGGCACCAAATTTAAAGGCTTACAATTATTCTATTTTGGACCATGAATCACAGAATCTCTGATTTCTGGGAGGCACAGTCCAAACCCCCCCAAAACTTTTCCAAACTTCCAAGCTTAAATGGCTTATTTGCACACTTAACATAAAACATAAACATATGTAAGAGAAGAGAGTACAAGATTCAGCACACAGAACCTCATAGGGCTATGTCATGTTTGGCAAATTCCATCTTCTTAAACCTTAGTGAAAGAACTATGTGTATAACACAGAATTTGATGTCAACACAGTACCCATTGTAAGAGCTGTGATGAGAGGAATAATCTTGTGCAGTGACGCTGAGGTTCTGGAACTGAAGTGAGGACTCCAGTGTGAGATTGTCATCTGTGCCACTTCCATTAACTTGTTTTTCTCCACTAGATCTGATGGCATGTGAAGTGACTGACTCTGTGAGGGATTCAGGCAAAAATCTTCCATTGTCACGGGGCTCAGACAAAGAGACTTGTCGTTCACCATAAGCTGGATCCGAAATCAATGTTGCTGCAATCCCAGACAGGCTGCTCAATGAAGATCTTTGAAACTGAGTTAAGAAGATGCCAGGTATAAAACTTTCTAGAGGGAGCAGAGCAAAATATGAAAAATGTAACACTGAGAATATGAGCAAAAAATTTTGAGAAGGTGGAAAGTGCTTATTTTACATAAATCTTTTACATCCCCAACCCATTATCATATTTGTTAGGAGGACACAAGCACTAACTTACTAGGTCAGAAATGCACACTTAAATGACTCTCCAGAAGCTCACAGACAGGGCATGATTATGATGCATTAATCATGTTACTGTATTAAGGCAAACAATTTCACTCTCTTCAAACCACATTACTGCCTACAAGCAGTGCAATATGTCATATTCATGCCATCAGATCACTAGACCATTTAAATCATTTAGCTGGTCCCAAATTGGTGAGTACTAGATGTATTGCACTACAGCTCACAAAATCCTCATGATGGGTGAGGCTCAAGCTGTTTAGTACAAAATCCAGTCTGGAAAAATTTCTTCCCCACCTCCCCACCCCCAGCTATAATGCCCAGAAGTTCCCAGTTAGGCTTGTCAAAAAGTAACTTCTCCAGGGCCTGACTCAAACACACGCAGTGACCTCCAGAATCAGTAAAGACCAAACGGGCATAGATAGCCACAGGGATTACAGGCTTTTGTCTACAAAGGAGGGAAAGACTGTAAACTGATACCTCGACATCTGACCATATTTTTGTACTTTAGCCCCAGATTTTGTATTATCAAAGTCAGAAGAAAAGTTCTGGAAAACTTGAAAGCTCGTCTTCTTTGTAATGTTTTGGCGATAGTAGTATGTAGGCCCAAATTCTATTTCTACTTGTTATGAAGAAACAGAAGGATGGGAAGCCTTTCTCATTTGCCATTTGCACTGAAATATCCAAAAAAGAAGATTTCATACATCATACCAGTAGTTTGGTCTGTGAAGTCCATTGTGGGACACTTTTATGCTTCACATTCAAGACCTGAGACGAACTTATCCCAAACTAATCAGTATTTAAAAAAATTGGTAACCTGATTGTTAAAATCCATTGACTTTACAGTAAAGTGTGAATTGAATCCTAAACAGCCATCTTAGGATAAGTATTGGGACAATGCAGATCACTGATGCTGGTGGAACTTCCTTTTGAAGTCAATGAAGTTAGAATCCAATGTAACAGGGAAGCCCTGTGGCTTTGATAAGGCACATGACAGATATGAAAATAGAAATGGGAATCAATGTAGAAAGGGGAGCACATGAATGACTGGGAAAAAATGGCAGCAGAAAATAACCTACCTTTGTCTGAAGGAAATGATCCTTTTAAATCATTAAGTGTTTGAAGACGTGTTGGCTTTATAGCGATGGAAGCTACAGTACTTTCAGCAGTAGTTCTGTTTTGCGTTTGTTGAGACACAATAGAAGACTGAATCCTTGCCCAGTAAACAAAGTACGACTGGACGACTGATAAACTGTTTTTAAAAAGTATTTGAAACAAGGATTTAGTCATTCTGTACGATTAATAAATCATCAGAACATTTGGAAAATCAAAGGGAATTTTAAAAAAAATCTACAAACAGAATTAGTGCAAAGCACATTAAAGGATGAACCCACAACATGTTTTTATTTTGAAACTACAACCAATAAACTGAAACCTTAGTGAAAGGGCTGTAAGTAAAGTCACTAACAGTTATAGCTAATCAAAACACTGTTCAGGCAGCGTGCTCTCTTAATTTAATCAGCTTTTAAAAAATTAATGTTAGTTTTGACAAAAATAGTTCCATTTGGAAAACTTTAGTTAAGGCTGGAAGCCACAGTCAAGAATGATAAGGAAACCAAGTCTTCATATAATTTTTTTAAACTGAAACAAAGTATGTATACAGTACATTTTTTTTAGTCCACAGCCATCTGATACCAATTATCTTGTCTATTATGTAAGATATATCTCCTTACAAACAACAAGTCTGATTTTATAAAATAAGGAAAAGCAACCGAAATATTCTTGGAGGGTACTGAAGATGTCCGTATCTGTACATTTATATAATACACGGATGCTCTCTAGGGCAGCTAGGGGCAAGGATTATCAATTTGTCCTGTAGTTTGGCTTTTTAAAAAAAATATAGACCATATAGTCTTCGGATTACCAGAGCTATCTTGCCAAAAATAAGGTATCTCACCAAGAAAGAGAAGCCAAGATGGAAATATTCCCCCACCCCACCAACATTGGCCACATTATCAAGTGAACACTGTATCAGAGATAGTTAATGCTTATTATATTGAACTGTATTTGACCAAACTCGGGAAGCAGTGGAAGATAGGAGGGCCTGGCGTGCTCTGGTCCATGGGGTCACAAAGAGTCGGACATGCCATAACCACTAAACAACAACAAAAAAATCATTTGAATTCCTGACTTAACTGAGATAAAGGTGGTCACCTTTTTCTCTGGTAGGGCTCCTGTGTTTGCATGGAATGGTCAGTGGTAAGGCTCCACAACAGCCTCCCTGGTTATTTCAAAGTGAGGGCTTATCATGTGGGCAGAAATATCATGACTTCATGCTCAAGCTGCATACAATTCAATCCTACATGAAAGTCAGCATGTTCAGTAGTGTTCAGTGCTGGTGCTCTATCAAGTGCATTCAGGATAACAACCTTATGGTATATTTACAAAAACAAAATAAAAGTCCTCCAGTTTTTTAAATGCTACTTTTGGCATGTATATTGACCAAATCAAAGCTGACAAATGTGTGAACCTATTCTTCCTCTCAGTTTGTATTTCCCCAATTTATACTTAAATTTTAAGAAAGTAAACATTTATACAGGTATAATACTTTTATATTCTTTTTTACTTAAGAAACTAAACAAAACCTAGTCTACAGGAATACAACAGCAATTCTGCATGGGGAAAAACAGTGAATTATTCAAAACCTAAGTACTGTACTGTTTGGTTATTATACAATGAAGCCTGGCAGCAGCAATTTCTATCAGCGTATTTATTATTCACATGCTCTTTACTTGCTAATACAGTACATAGGATTTTAACTGCTTATAAAAACCTTCCTGGTATTGTTTCAATCACCCCCCTCACTAATTCTTCTCTCTTTCTACAATTGTGCTCTGCAAGAAGATGTTTCCCCCAAATAAATTATTTTTGATAGTGATATTGCTTCACAAGGGTGCAACAAAAGCTATTGTGTGGCAGCAGCATTGAGCATTCCATAACCCAACTCAACAAATAGGGGTGCCACAAATAAAAAAATATAACTATGAAACGGGACCTTGGATCAGTAACAAATCATGTATGCATGTATGCATGTACTGTATCAGAAAGTCTACTCTTGCTCTCTAACAAATTTGGGGACATATGGGCAGATTTTTCTAGTTATGATTTTTTTTAAGTAACACTGTTTTTTATCCCATGGAGAACCAAATGGCCTGGAACTAGCTGGTTTTAAACAGATCAAATACATTAAATTTGGGGACATATGGGCAGATTTTTCTAGTTATGATTTTTTTTAAGCAACACTGTTTTTTATCCTATGGAGAACCAAATGGCCTGGAACTCTAGCTGGTTTTAAACAGATCAAATACATTGATAAGACCAAATTTGCATGCCTGGAAAAAAATGGCCCCTGACTCCTGCTTTTTGTTTTCTTTCCTTTCCTTTTTTTTTTTTTGAGACAATTGAGTAATTCATGGTTCTAACTTACAGTTTCAAAGTAGTGATTTTAAAAGCAACATAACCTATGAGTTTACAGGCTTTCTCTTATAACTTGCCAACATTCTATATGGATTGAACTTTATACCCTGCCACTCAAAAGCCCATTCAACAGCTGTGAAAGAAAATAGTTAATTTCTTCCTGGCAAACATGTTTAACTCCATCCTGTGAAAATATTTAAATATTTAAAGAGGTATTTTTTTAAAACAGAGAATAATATTCAGCAATTCACTCATTTAAGCTGTGAAATTACTGGGGGGCTGCTTTGTGGCTGGGAATGATCTCAAAGCAAGTTTTGCCTGGTTTACTCACAAGTAAGGAAACAGCAGCAACAGCAGCCAAGGACTGCTGCAGTGTGAGAGGAGATAATTGGGGTAAATGTTAAGGAGACAGAATGGAGGTAAAGCCCCCCTTTCTCACTCTACAGTATATCAATAACTGACTTACAAAATGTCCTATCATTAAGATCTCTGCTCAGCTCTTGCAAACCGAGGATATCTTGGTTGTCTTCTCTTCCTGCTTCCCCTTCCAAGCAATATTGTCTTTTCCATTAAGTTCTTGCAAACTACGTAACAGCTGCAGCTTCCTTTACACTTTATTCTTCTGCTCACTACCATTCACACTTGTTGAAAAACAATCCGGACAATTGCTTTATGTTTGGATGAGAAGTGATTAGATGATGGAAAAAAGGAGTCAGCTTCTGTGACCTCCCCCCCCTCCCGGTGTGGAGTCAGTTTGTGAATGGGAGTGAGCTGAAGAGCATTCCCTGTAGACCAGTGGTCCCCAACCTTGGGCCTCCAGATGTTCTTGGACTACAACTTCCAGAAATCCTTGCTAGCAGAGGTGGTGGTGAAGGCTTCTGGGAGTTGTAGTCCAAGAACATCTGTAGCCCCAAGGTTGGGGGCCACTGCTGTAGACCATCTTGGCTGCTGCTATTGATGTTGTCAACATTCAGACCGCCCTTTGCTGTGTAAAGCTTGGCCTCATTTTTCCTGCCGGCAACACAAGCACGATATATATGCAGTAATACTGGGCGATTTCCTGACTTTTTGGATCACGTGTACAGAAGCATATTCCATATTCATAAACTGAAGGTTTTTTGAATGATTGAATTATTTTAGTTTTATATTATTCCTGCTGTGGTTATACAATGTGATTACTATTGCACAGAATCAGTTATCAGAAATGCATATGGAAAGCCAGTTTTGAACCAATTTGGAACCTAAAGGTTATTGGAACAATGATATAGCACAATCAGAAAAAAAATGGCCACAATAAATAAATAAAATAAATAAAACTCGGGCTGGAACTCCCAGAACCCTGCTGGCTGCTTTTACAAATCATCACTAGCCATGTTGGCTGGGGGTTCTGGCAACTGTAGTCCAACATCACCTTTTCAAGCTTTGCTCCTAATTAGCACTGGTGCAAGCCCATGTCAAGTTAATCAGGAGCTAATTTCCAGTTCATGAAGCTTCACTTACAGATGACCATGATCAAGTCAATAGCATGTGTGTTTGTATAAAACAAGCTTGCAGAGCTGTGATTTCCGCATAGGGGAATCACGTCACACATTTACTTTCTTTCGCAGTTAATACTGCAAAGAACCAGCTAAGGATCTTCCATCGGCTGCCTTACGAGAAGACCTCCTTGGGAGAGAGAGCGGTGGGGAACACAGCAACACGAGCAATCAAAAGATTCTTACAAGAACCTGACGTCTCCAATGGGCTGATCCGGTGCTTTCCACACAAAGGACAAGTTTCTCTTCAGTGACTTATCTGAATGGGTGACAGTGTCACCATCTTCAAAACAAGTCAGTAGTTTGGAGCCAGGAGGGATGTACACAAAAGTGCCAGCAATTTGATCATTCGACACCCTGCGAGCTTGAAGCATAAAACCCATAAAATCACGTGTGCTCCGAACTGTGACTGGAAACAAAGAGAAAGAGGTACAGGTACATAAGCCTTTGGAAGGGCATTTTAGCATGTGCACTGCAGACACTTTGCGTCTATATTCCATCATGGGAAATGTGACTGGTATTACATTTTCCATTTATAATTCTTCCCTTGTTTAATTTATTAAGCAGAGCCAGGGCTAGAATGAGAGAGATGCCTAATGCGAGGGTGGGCAAAATGCAGCACATCTGATGTCATTGGGCTACCATTTCTGTTCATCCACACAGTGTGAGGCATGCTGGGAGTTGTAGTCCAACTACCTTTAAGAGCCATGGGATTACCACCATCCCCCCCCCCGTCTCCATTATTAAATCTAAATCCCATATAACATGTCACAGGATTCTAACCTCCATATGAGGACCCTGCCTCCTAACTCTTTAGAATTTTGCATTCAAATTCCCACAAAACGTCTAGCTCACTCTCACCTAGGTTGCTCAGTGCAGAGTTGAAGCACCATTTTTTCCCTATCAGGTTTGATATATATGTTAGTAGGTGGGGAAAAACAGGAATGAGAAACACCTCAACTGCAATCTTACCTCCATCTTCTCCATGAGGAAGGTACAGAAGAGAGGACATAGGAAAAACTGGAAGGCAGTCTAGGATATTGTTTTATATTAATGTATGCCTCCTGCGTTGTTTGCTTAATCCCTCCCTAACCAGCTCTGGTTCTACCTGCCCAAGGTAGATATAACACATTATGTTGGTAACGAAGTTAAGATAAAAATTTAACAAGTTGGGGGAAACAAAGAGATTTTTAAAAATATGTATTTATGTGCGAATTGGTATGTTTCCAACAGAGTCGTTATACACTCTCCCTCTTTCTGGGAGTTTTCTTAGTTGCTGGGATTGGCTGCCATAATAGCGTACATATCTGCAGCTACCTCACCCTACATGTATTAGCTGTTCCCTGTTAAGGAGCAACCAGCCTCTGATGTTACTCATCCAAGAGACCAGTCTTCTACCTCTTCCTTGTTTATGAACTTCAGATTTAATTACATGAAGCTTAAACTTCAAACCAAGCACATTAAACTTACTTATATGTACCATATTATCATAGAATTAAGCACTTAGGAGAAGATAGCTTTTGTTCTAGCCTGCATTTTTAGAGGAAAGATTAGGGGGAAATGACCCATTTTATAGTTTGAGTACACTAGTAAAATTTTATAGATATATGTATTGTTTCCCCAGAGTTTTTTCAGGCCCTACACTACTACTGGGGTTTGTGGAAGCCTCAATGTTAGGCCATAAGAATCCCCCCCCCCGGGGCCTGTACTGCTACCGCCAGTCCTACTGCAACAAGAAGGCTCATGAATTGTAATCCTGGCACACCACTACCTACTTTTCTTCAAATGGCTCAATGCATACATTCCCTACTTCACTCCCCAACCCCATTATTTATTTCCTGGCTTTGACAAATGCTGATTATTTCTTTATTCATATCAGAGCATTGCACAATTTTAGATTATGAATATATATCAAATACCTGTATAAAGTTCAAATAAATTAGAAATCTTAAAATGATTATGTTTTTTTTACCAGAAGTAGGCTAGCTCAATAGTGTTATCTTGGCCATTTACTAGATCTGCTTTAGTACAGGTGGTTCGGCATAAATTGCATGTATTTATTTGCTGCATCGATTGAATTTCTCCACATTCACAGAAAGATTGTCCTGTATCCAAGTAGCCCCATTTAACAGGATTGTTCTTTGACCTTCCTAGTGCACTTTGAATTTTATTAAGGGACTTCCAGATGGTCCAGCCAGAATCTTGTCCTGGTGGAAAAAATACCCATCGGCATTCACCCATTTGGCAAGATGTGTTGTTTCCACTCTCCATAAATTTAACCTAGCCTCTTCTGGTTTGATATTCGGAATTTGAGATGTGTACAGAAAACTTTCCCTTGATTTTAGCCATCATTTAGGCCAAGCGGTGGCATTGATGAAATTGATTTGGTGCTATATTACCTTATTTGGTGCTATATTATATTATTGTGTCCATTATTGTTAGCACCTCTCGACATACTACTGAAGGGGGCAATGTAAGGTTTCAGTCAGTCAGTAATAATTCTGCATAAAGTGTTGCACTGGATGCCAATGCTGTACAGGCACCACACACATAGTACTACCTTCATGCCAAGCTGCTGAGTGCCCAGCCTTTAAAATTATCTCCCACACAAAAATTTATTTGTATATTTTCTATCCTACCTTTCTCCTCTTTCACGGACCCCAAAATGGCTTACAAAAGAAATGTTAAAATCCACAAATAATTAAAACTAATTAAAATTTTAAAAGAATGATGATTGTTTTTAAAATTATATAAAAACTATAAAACAGATTTTCAAAATACAACTTTCTCTTACATCAGAACCACTCATGCTGAGATTTGTTCCTCTGCTGGGAGAGACAAAGTAGTATAACAGTTTGCTGAGATTTCGGTCAGCTTCCCGACACCTAGCAACCCTAACGACAACCACAGAACAGAAGCAAATGGGCCTTTGTCCTTTGCTGAGCATGAAATAAGAAATCTAAGCCTCTCTGGCTGCTAGAGAAAACTGTGGGCCATGATGCCCCATCAAGCATAACGGTCCCAGCTTACCACCTATGTAATGGCTTCTCATTCTTAACATTCAGTCATTGCTTGTACGTAAAAGAATGCCAATGTACTGTAAGTATGGTTGTTGTGGGTTTTTCGGGCTCTTTGGCCGTGTTCTGAAGGTTGTTCTTCCTAACATTTTGCCAGTCTCTGTGGCCGGCATCTTCAGAGGACTGGAGTAGGAACTCTGTCTGCGCTCTACAGTATGTCTATTCCATCTGCTTCTCAGATGTAAGCAGGTGGAGCAACTAGGATTTTGCCTCAAGGACCAAATGATAGAGGACGCCAAAATCTAAACATGGCTGTAGTGGTGGTGGGAAAATAAAACAGCAACACTTCCAGCCCTATTCATCCCCCACCCCTTTTTCAAAGCATGGAGTTTCTCTTTATTTGGGGGAATGCTAGTTTTTCTTTTCTTTTTTTCCTACAGGCTTGCACCCATGGCTCAGGAGTCAGGATAGCATGAGTGGGAGATGATGGTATGCTAGTTAGTTAAAGCTCTGCTGCTCATTACCTTTTATTCACTCCTCAGCTCATTCTGTTCTGATTTCCTACATTTGGAAAGCAAGGGGAACTCTGACACATGCAGGCTATCTTCCATAGCAGAAGACCTTGTTTCCCAGTACTAACGTTAGCATGAATGATTAAGACACAGCCAATGCATGATGTAGAGCAGGCATCCCTTACCCTTGTTTCCCCCTAGTTCTATTAGGCTACAGATCCCGCTAGGATGGGATAATGTGGTTAGAGAGCAAAAAGGTAAGAAACGCTAGTCTATAACCTTGAAATAAACTGATACACAGCCCTCTGCATTTGCCCCCCCCCAAAAAAAAACTGTAATTACTCTTTACCTGGTACCTTGTCACCTGGAAAAAAGGACATATTGGTGTGGATGGTAATATAGTTATTTTGTGGATTCTGAAGATGAGCCCTGATATGTTTCGGCCTCATGTCAGTACATGCTGAAAGACTGGCACCATGGGAAAATGCTGCAGTGTATGAAACCAAGCACAGGGTTATAAATGTCCACACAACAAGCATTGCCTGGACTTCCATCTCATCCTTTATCTGTCAGGGGGGAAAAAGGCATTTAGACTAAAAAGACAGTAACAACTTCTACATTAAAAAAAAATGCAGTATGTATGAAGTGACATCAATGACATCTTTGAATTCCTGCTTTAGTTGAAACCCAAGTTTTTAAAAGATTTAGGCTGCTGGAAAGGACAGTTTAATCATCCATGTAGCATTGCCCTGGTTAGTTCGCAAAATAAGACATTTTGAGAACAAAGCAGGCTTTGACTTATTCTGGAACAGTTTAGAAAAAAAAAGACAGACATCCTGGCAAGGTTATGACCTAAAATGCTGTGCCAGTGCACGTCTGGCTGACAGCAAGTAGGCAGTACATATACTGTCTGACTCTGTGGCTGTGTTGCAAAATGTGAGCTGGCAGTGGGCAGCAGAAACTTCCAGATTCCCTGACTGTACAGAGAATGTTAACCTAGCTAATGCATCCCTTGAAAGAAAATAACATTTTCCTCAGCATTCAGTCCTTACCTCCTGGGAACTAATGGAACAAAACAAAAATAAAAGCTAGACCTACCTATCAGCCAAACACACTTTCTATAGAAAGGGAAACGATTTTAGTAATTTTTATAGCCATCCCAAATATCTCTAGACACTCACAGTCATTTGGTTAGTAATTTTTATAGCCATCCCAATCAAATATCTCTAGACACTCACAGTCATTTGCTATGTAAATTATGCTATCTAGCAATTTAAGTCATACCCAAAAATGTGTCTGTGGACCAACCAGGCTACAAAATAGGGAATTGTTTCTTCACTTCTGTATTTTAAATGGACAAATACTAATGTTTAGACTAATGCAACTTCTCCAAATTCATTTCTGTAACCATTTACATTCTGAAGAGGTCATAAAAGGACTCCTCTTTGAAAGCCAAGCCAAAAATTAATACCAGGTTTGGACCGTGCTAACCCTCCTGCCCTTCAGTGTTATCCATGTTACAGCATTTCCTCTCCAAAAATTAAATATTTACATTCATCCAATTATCTGATTTATCAAGTGTACTTGATTTTGTCTCCCACTTCCTCCATTTTCCAAGTTAATTTCTGCCTTGCAAAATCTCCTCTTGGTATCAGGTACCTGTTTTGTTAACATTGCCCATCACTTACCTTGGAGCACATGTTCCTTCAGATACTCGGCACTTTTCTCCTTCAGAATGGCATGCAAACATCCTTTAAAGAAAAAAAAATCCTTGCCTCCTCCACTAATGGGAACCGCAGCAGCTGTTACTGCTAATACTTAATACCTACAGGAACTTTCTCAGTGTCCAAATCCAGTTTTAATCATGTTAGTTTTCCTCACACGCTACCCATTCTATTTAAAAACAGAACAAAACAGAGCAGGACCAGGTTTCTGAAATGAAAACAGAACATATTATCCCATCTTGTACAACACATTTACTGGGAAGTAAGCTCCCAAAGGTGCTTACATAAATTAACACAGTTAAAGGACCATGGAATCCAGGGTCTTTTCAGAAAATCTTAGGTAGAAGACGATTGTTTTTTCCCATCTCCAATCCAGTCTGTCACTTAAGAACAAAGACTGAACAGCTTCCTTCTGCACACCGGGGAGGATGTCCGGAAAACTTAATCTCTCAGGTTTGTATGGGAATGTTAGAATGAAAGCAGTAATCTGCAAAGGAACGGAATCTAGGAATAAGTATGTTTCACTCTGGTTCATATCCTGTTTGACAAGCAGAACTCCAGCTGAGGTTACTGCTGTCTATAAGAAGCATCGCCAAATGGCCTTGCAAAACTTATTTTAAAAAGAATTTTAAAAGTGTATTTTAAAGACACCGTGTGAAGTACCGCAATGGTCAGAGCATTAGAAACATGAGGTTTTAATCAGTCACTCAGTTTTCTGGAAGACGGCCATCTTGATCTGCCATTTAAGCAGTAGTGAGGAAATCTTTTCCCTGCATGTTTCACAGGTTTGGTGCCATCACAGAAACGTCCTTGTTCTGCAATGCTATTAACTGCACATCAGAGTTGGGGAGAAGGCAGCAAGGCCTCCAAGTGAGAGCTCAACATATTTAACGTTCATTAAGCTGAAATTTCTAATAATTACAAGGTCAGAAGGCTGTTCTATTTGGCTTTTAAATGTTTCAGCTCGAATATAAATATAGAATGATCATGTTGAAGAATTATTGTTCAGGGGAAAGACTGCTAGGATCTTCTAACAATAATGAGGCTAGATGTCTACTCTATATACCCTGGATAATTAACAAACATTACGAATTAATTGTCTCTCCACTGATTGCTAGGCAGAATAATCCAAAATATAGATTTTGGTAACTTCCATTTCTTTTCCTTTCCCCCCATCTTGTTTAGTTTACAAAGAGCCTTAAGGCATAGAATGAAAATGCGGAGTGAAAATTATCATCCCCCTAACTGTACAGGATTAAGTCTGTTGCTTATTTCTTTTCAATTCAAGAAACATCACCCCTCCTGCTCAACCACAGACAACTATGAAGTTGAAGTTTACAATGGTACAAAGAACACTTTGGTGTAACACATCTGATATTACCTGTATTCACACTACATTTTGTATCTGACTGTGCTAGTCACACTGCAATGCAGATGGGAATGTGAATCCAGAGCTGCTATCTTTGGCTGTGCATGCAATGCAGTGTATATGCATATCTGGGTCATGGCTTTTGAAACAAGCTCTTCTTTATACTTGTGACAAGACTCAACCACCAGAGTAATACGATTGTGAAATGGAGCAGTGGGGGTGATGGATTTAGAAGAAACATTCTATCAACAGAGCTTATTAGCTCCTTCCAAGTGTCACTTTAGGATCTGAAGGGATGCAGTAACCTTGCTAGCCATATACATTTTTCACCACCTCCATAAAAAAACCCCTCACAAAACAATAATAAACACACTTGAAGGACATATTTTTCCCCCAAAAGTGGCCATTGATACAAGGCTGAACATGTGATTCCAAGTTTTGCAGACCTTTCCCAAGCCCTTGTCAAGGTTATAAATGACTGAAATGCACTATAAAATTGTATTCTTTTTGTATGTAGAGCAGAAATGTGTGAAATATTTAAAGTGAATCAGTTAATGATTATTAATTTCTTTTTGTCAAGTCTAGTTATTTCCTACGTTGATTAAGTCTTTTGGTATTTGAGATGGAACATGTTGTATTCACACAATTGTTAATGCTCATTCATGCACAGTACAGGTAACATTAGGGCAGTATTACATTGCTCAAAGAACAACAAAATGGACAAAAATATCCCAAGCTGAGGTGTTTTTTTTTTGTTGTTGTTTAAAAAAAAGCTGGATATGTAAAAACATTAAACTCATATTATGGTCCCTTTCTGTTTTGGTTTAGCTACCCTAACAACACAATCCTATGCTTGATTTGTATTCCTGTACTGTATTGAGCAGAGGGTTGGACTTGATGGGCTTATAGGCCCCTTCCAACTTCACTATTTTACGATTCTATGATATCTACTTTAATATAGGTCCCATTGAGTTCAAGGGGAATTAGTGCTAAGCAAATTGTGAGTGCAGAATGGATGTATTTTAAGATGAACTTTAATACATTTATGGTATTAATTTTTGTTGTTGCTCACCCATATTTTAAAACATGAACATATTTCTGCTGTAAAAATGTTTAAATCCCCCCCTTATACTTAAGAGATAGTAATCATATTCTTTGTTATTTACATATATGGGTCTAAATCTAATTACCAATCCCAACTAGCGCAGACCCATTGATCCCATGTGTTTTATATATGTGTTGGCTTGCCATTCAGCAACTGATTCAAAGGGTCTGTTTTAGTGGAACTAGCAATTAGATTTAGTGACTAAGACTGCAAAAACTGGGCTTTTACTTATATTCCTAATATTAGGACATTTCTTGTTGTAATGTGTGGTCACATGAATCTTTAATAGTTATGCAACATGAACATGTAACCTTAGCTCTATATAGACTATTCTTACTTGTATTATATTAATCGCTATGAACTTATGTTCCAGCTGTAATATGTCAACTAGGAATCTGATCTTTTTTTTCTTTTTGAAAAACAAACATATGCTGAGTTTTACATTAGGTGCTACATCTTTCATCCTGTAGTATAATAGCACCCCTATAAACTTATGAAGCCTCCCAATCTATTGATGGGAGGGGAATAAAAGACAACATTAACATCAATTAGAATGAAGAGCTACTCGGACTTGGAGCAATGGCACACAAACAGAAAAGTTTATCATCAGTGATGTTTAATTCTAGGTGGACCAGTGCTACTTCCAACTGGTTTATATTGTTCAGTTGTCTCCTCTACACCACAAAGTAAACATCTTTGTTGCTTATCTTCAGTCAGCAACTAAACAAATATTTCACTCTCTTATGACAGCTGAAGAAATTAAGTGTGCTCTTTTTCAAAACGGGATGTGTAGCTTTTCCTACCTTCCTCATCATCCAATATACCTGAAAATCAGACTTTCATACTTTTGCAGCCCAAGAAAGCCTTCAGTGCAGTGTTATCTCCCAAACTGGAACTATCTATGTGAATACCAGATGTTGTTTACAATTACCTTTATACCATAAACAGATTATTTTCCATTTTTATTTCTTTTCAAAGTATAACAAAAATATACCAAACTGAGAAAAAAAAATTCCACTTTGTTTTTACATATTAAAAGATATCTAGTCTTCTATACAGGTCATGTAACTTTACAGCACACTATAATAATCTTGTTTACTGAAATATTCAGCAACAAACAAAAGAATTTTAAGAAATAAAAGTTGCAGTACAAAATATTCCATCTTCAGGTAGGTTCACATTCTCCTCTTCTGTGTGCTTATATACAAAACTGTTTAAAGGAGATAAAAAAACAACAATTAGGAAGATTAGTACCATATGACAGACAATGGATATTATGCCAACTTCAGTCCACAAACTGTTTATTACTGCCAAAACTACTGATTAGAACTAAAGGATATATGAGAAAAATGAAACTTAAAAAGCAAATGAAACCTTTAAAAAATAATCTGCTGAAGATCTGAATCTCTTAGATAAGAGCTACTATAGAACCAATCTATTACACACCACATCATCTTTTAAAAAGTTTGCACAATGGTCCTGGTGTCTATTTTCCCTCTAAATTACTTGTGCTGGTAAGTTTGGAAATATGAGAATGTTAATGGTATGAAAAACTCAATTCTGTTATAAACTGAAACACATGATCCAGTAAAAGCTAAGCAATTATAACTCAGTTACAAGATGAGACACTTTAGTCCTTTTGAGTAATTCTTTGCAGAATTCACACAGAACCGGACCTAACCAGGTCTAGTCAACCAAACAGCTGTAAATAACACCAGCTTTCACTAACTTACAGTGTACAGGTTTTGTTTGTGCTGTTATAGATAATTCTTGGGACAAGAATTATCATGGGAAATCCACTGTGTCTTGCCACCGAGTATTTTTTGGCCTTAGGCAATATAATGTGTTGGGACAAATAAGTTCTGTGTCATTTCAGCGCTAACAATGATGCTCAGAAGCAAAAGCAATATAACATGGCTGTTAGTAGGCTGACCCAATTGAGGGGCACACTGGAATTCTCCGTGGGTTTTGGAAAAAGTAGTTGTACATGAAAATCACCCTCTAACCCTGACCTTAAGATTGCTTAAATCAGTCTTAATGCTAATTGTCGATAATTCAAATTCCAGGATCAAAAAATACCACAGAAGTCAATCAACGCAAGTTTTCTGTTTGTTTTTGCTCCGTCCTCAAGTATGAGGAATAATAATAAAAGTATGCCATCATGCCATCATGTCAATCCTGACTTATGATGACCCCTTCCAGGGTTTTCTAGGTATAGGCTACTTAGAAGTTGTCTAACAATCCTTGTTGTGTGGACATCCTGAGGCTGTGCAGATTGCCCGAAGCTACACAAATTGGCTCTTCTTCCAAAAGGCACTTTCAGGAATCAAACTCCCAAACTCTGGCTCCACAACCAGATACTTAACTCACTGACTTATCAGCCAGCAATCCATGGGAAGTATACCTAATTATGCTTGCAGCATTTTGTTTCTTTTTTGTTATTAAATACATGAAGATGCCCTTGAAATATTAATCTCAAGAAGATAGCTGCCATACTAAAGAATGTCCTCTCTGATGGAATGCATCTGTTTACTGCAAGTGTTCCTGTACTGTGAAGTATTTTATTCATTTAAATGTTCCCACCAAACTGCACCTCCATTTACCTTTTCTTATCACTGACTGAAAATAAGTGAGTAGGAAGAAGTTCTACCCTTTGCATTTCCAGGACTGAAAAACTGGTGCAAACTTCCATATAATCCTTACAAAATTAATACTACCACAGAGCCAGGAGTGGGATGGGTAAAAAGCCAGATGTTTTCTAATATCAGGATCAACACTGGAATATGAATTTAAAATAAAACAAAATATAATTTCCTTGCACGATTTCCAGACAGATTTGAGCCCATTTTTTGACTTTTCTCTGTGAGGGTGATTTGCTTTAATTCTTCTCTTCTGTCAAACCCTAACAGAAGCTGAAGTATGACCCTGGCCTTCCCTAAAGACCTCTTATGTGTGCCTGAAGATCTGGAGGGATATATGATATGAGGGGAAAGTGCTGGGTCTTCTGTCATTCACCATGGGGCTTCCACAGAAGCATGTTTGCTACAACTATTTCACCACAAGCAAAGCAGCTGCCTATGTGTATTCTTCACACATTCTTCTTTGAAAGATTTTGAATACTAAGCCAAAATCAAGTGTTTTCTAGTTAAACACAGTTACCATTGTTTCCTCTGATGAAAGCATCTCCATATTTATTCTTCAATTGTCCATTTACATATTCCTCTGTCTGTTCTAGAGCTATATTCATGTAACCATCCAAGCACGCCAGCACACCTAGAAAAATAAAATAAGGACTACTGTGATTTCAGTGCTACATTTTCGTAATCCAACATTGCACTGAAACTGAGTATAAATATATCATGAAGTGAAGGTGGGTAGATAAAAACAAATAGACAAATCCAGGAAGCTTGGCTGGACTGGCTAAATGTTTAGATATTTAGTTAATTTCGCATGCAGTATTCCCACCTTTATTTAAATAACCTGTGAAAGCAGAGTTTAATTTTGAGCAGAACTCTCAAAATATTATACAAATTATATCAGCCCCTTTCTCTCTACCAGAATATATCAAGATGACTGGAAATAATACAGGAAGAGCGTACCTCGATAATCAACTCCAGAATTTAATTTTACAACGACTGGCCTTCCTATGATTTGTTTCAAGAAATCACTTGGGGTTTGTTTCCGTAGACTCATTGTTCCAGATCTCGAAAGCTACATGAAGAAATAGGAGAATGATTAAAGTCAGAACTCAAAAGTGATCACAAATGCTCAACATACAGAGACTGTGTGGTGACTCTAAGAAGTGTTCACTAGGGAAATAAATATCAAAGAGAAAGAAAGTATGACATCTCTTTTGAAAAGACTTTAAAACAGCAGGTCTATGTTCATTACATAAAACTACCAATTAAAGAATCTGATCTCTTTTTTTATCAAGAACGTGTGTACAGCATTATTTAAAACATCTGTTTCCCACACACCCTTACTTTAAAACATTCAGAGTTCAACACTGCTGTTTGTATTATATATAGTTTTCCACATAAATTCAGTGCTGATGAATCAAGACTGATTTTACATATGATTTTACATATGAAAGGACTACTGTGATTTCAGTACTACATTTTCGTAATCCAACAAATTGCCAACTTAGGAAAACATATATACAGTCATGGCCAAAAATATTGGCACCCCTGCAATTCCGTCAGAAAATGCAACCCTTCTCTCATAAAATTGTTGCAATTGCAAATGTTTTGATATTCACATTTTCATTTCTTTGGTTTGCGTTGGAACAACACAAAATAAACAAAGAAAAGTCAAATCTGATACAGTCCCACACAGAAACCCAAAAATGCAGTGGCCAAAATTATTGGCACCCTGCCTAAATTGTAAGAAATAATTGCTTGTCAAGCATGTGATGCTCTTTTAATTTGTATTTAGACACACCTGTCACAAGTAAGAGGTGTGGGCAATATAGTAATCACACTTGCCACCAGTTGAAAAGTTGACTCAACCTTTGTGTTGTGTGTGACACTGAGCATGGAGAAAAAAATGAAGTGTAAAGAGTTGTCTATGGATTTGAGAGAAAAGATTGTGAAAAAACATCGACGATCTCAAGGCTATAAGTCCATCTCCAGAGATCTTAATGTTCCTGTGTCCACTGTGTGCAATATCATCAAGAGGTTTACAGCCCATGGCACTGTAGCTAAGCTCCCTGGACGTGGACGGAAGAGCAAAATTACTGAAAAATTACAATGAAGGGTGGTTTGAATGTTGTGATACAGAACCCAGATTAACTTCCCAAAAATTCAAGCTGATCTGCAGACACAGGGTGCAACAATGTCAGCTCACACTATCTGTTGCCATCTGAATGAAAAGGGACGCTTTGGTAGGAGACCCAGGAGGACACCATTGCTGACACAAAGGCATAAAAAAACAAGACTGGAGTATGCCAAAAC